CAGCAATACATTTCAGTGGATCTGCCTGTTGTGCTCTCCACTCTGTCTCTGGTGAATCCTCTCACCTCCTTGCACCTCTGACCTACACCCCATTTGTGTATGCATAAATAAATAAAAACTAAATCTTAAAAAAAAAAAAAGGCCTCCCCAGTGGTGCAGCGTTGAGCACGGGGTTGTGAAGCTGCCCACAGCCTCTGCAGCGCCGATTCGATCCTTGGCCCCTGGGGCGAGGGTCCCACATGGCACGCAGACCTCTCCTGCCACCCGCTGCTCCCCTCAGCACTGTATTTCGTCGATCTGCCTGTTCTGCTCCCCACTCTGGTGAATTTTCTCACCCTCCCGCACTTCTGACAGTACCCAGTGCTTGTATAAATAAATAAATAAATTTAAAAACAAAAAAAAAAGGAAAACACAATAGGATTCTAGTATTATTCCCTTACATTTTTAGATTTAGACTGTGATCTAAAGAAGTTGCTTGTCTTTTTTTTTAATGAGATAATTCAAGTTCAGAGAGATTATATGACTTGTCAAAAACAACACAGCTAATCAGCAGCATAACCCAGGCTTGAACCTAGGTCTTACTGTTCCATAGTACATCAATTTTCTCTTGCTATAATTTTTGTTTTGAACATGACACAAATATGAACTTAAGAGGTATGTTAAGTTTCTAGGTACAAAAGATAAAAGCTACTTAACTTGGCAGTGGAGTAACCATGATCACAAAGCATATCAATTTACCCAAAGAATATGAAAACACACAAAAAATGTATGCACCTCTACATTTATAGTAGCACTATTCACAAGTTAAAACATGGAATCAACCTAATGCCCATTGACAGATGACTAAACAAAGAAAATGTGGTATATCTACTCAGTGGACTACTACTCAGCTATTAAAGATAAAATAATGCCTCTGGGGACAAAATGGATAAACCTTAAGATGATTATGCTAAGTGAAAAAAGTCAGAAAATGAAAGACAATTAACTGGATGGTTTCACTCACTTATGTAATATAAATAACCAAAGAAAACAAACTGACAAAACACATCAAAATAATTCCTAGTCTCTGTGAAAAGTGGCTGGGGGTGAGGGGAGAACGTAATCGTGTACTGACACTGGAGCTTTGGTAAAGGTGAATGGGGCTTGTGCACACGTTGAGGTATAAAGCTATATTCACAAAATTATATAGTTATGTATATGACTGGCAAATCAATAAAATTTGGTTTTAAAAGAGTGATATCCATATTATCATAAAATTAAGATAAAAATAGGGCCTCCCCGGTGGCACAGCGGTTGAGCGCTGGGTTGCGAAGCTGCCCGCAGCCTCTGCAGCGCCAGTTCGATCCCCGGCTGCTCCCTGGCCACTGGAGGAGGGTCCCAGATGGCATGCAGACCTCTCCTGCCGCCCGCTGCTCCCCTCAGCAGTGTACTTGGGTCCTTCTGCCTGCTCTGCTCCCTGCTCTGGTGAATTCTCTCACCCTCCCGCGCTTCTGACTATACTCAGTGCTTGTATAAATAAATAAATAAATCTTTTTTAAAAAAATTAAGATAAAAATATCTATGAGTATTAACAAGTTTGGCAGCCTCTAAAATTATTTGGTAATCCTAGCTCAATATGGATTTGATCCCATACTTTCTCTTAAATCAATGTTTCACTCATAATTACAATACTGGGTGGTCTCCGAGATTCAACTTATCACATAAACAGCACAAACTTCTCCCAAACCATTCTTAATCTTACGGCTTCACACTACATTATGAAGTTCTCTATGTGAAATCCGTTTTGATTTCAACACTAAGAGCATTACAACAGCATAAGCATGTTGTTTCTGCATAATACTTGCAACATGCACTCAATTTCCAGAGCACTTCTGGACACTGTCTAAAATCCAAGAAAATATGTGATCTTTTTCCTCAATTAAAAAGGTTCACTGGGGCCTCCCCAGTGGCGCAGCAGTTAAGCGCTAGGTTGCGAAGCTGCCCGCAGCCTTTGCAGCGCCAGTTCGATCCCAGCCGCTGGGCGAGGGTCCCACATGGCACGCAGACCTCTCCTGTCGCCCGCTGCTCCCCTCAGCAGTGTACTTCGGTCCTTCTGCCTGTTCTGCTCCCTGCTCTGGCTCTGGTGAATTCTCTCACCCTCCCGTGCTTCTGACTATACCAAGTGCTTGTATAAATAAATAAATCCTTATAAATAAAAAGGTTCACTGACATGTGTCAATTGAATACCAAAAAATAACTATATATTATCTATAATTTGCAGAATCTGGCTGGAGAACCTACTTGAGATCAATGCCTATAGACCTTTAATTGTATAGATGAGGACACTGAAGTCCAGAAATTGAAGTGACATTCCCAATAGCAGTCTTATAACGACACAAAAACTGCCAATCTAGAGCTTCCCATTGCTCTAAATGCTGCCTCATTTAACAAAATGTGCACCTAAAAAAAAGTCACAAATACCTAAAATAATTAAGATACATTTAAGGTCCAGATCAAGGGAACACTAGTCAAGTGTACTAAGACAGTTTTTTAGAAAACAGAATTTCTTGACAGCATCTCAAAGTTCCAAATCACACATGTTAAATATTGGCTCTTTGATCCAATGCATGATATCAAACATCTTCTAAACACCATAAATGCTCTTTTTCCCATCCCAATACTATTCATTTACTCAACAAATATCTGAGGGAAGACTATATACAGAAAATTATGCTAGGTACTGGAGACATCAAGGAACAGAACAGATAAGAACTCTGACTCTTGCTGCCGACAACTGGGTACACTTGTTTTAAAATACTATTCATGATTTGGCAGGATATTTACCAAACTCCTTCACTACCCTACTTAACTATAACAACATTTTTTTTCCATCTCTTCCAAACTTATAACAAATCTTACCACACCCACCCTGCAGTTAAAATACTTCCTTTGGTAACGCAGCATTCCACTTTAATATAGAAGGTGCTAATCAGAACTACAACAGATTTTAAAACTGACTTTACCACTCCTCATTTACCTCCTTTACCTCACCTGGAGCAAATTTCAAGAACTTTTTGTAATCCACAGCAAGGTTCACAACCCTGGTCTCAAACACCCATTCTACCCTCCACTTTACTAGAAAACCTGAGTCAGTTGGTTTAGGAGCAACCATGACATTGGGATGTTGGAAAGCATTTTCAGTGGATCCCTATGAACCAGAAACACTTACTGCGTCTCCTACTCGGCTTCTTTCTTCTGAATCCTTTCCTATATCTCTAGATATACCTCCAGTCAAGTAGCATCTAATTTTATCAAGTATGTTCCTGAAGACTTGCACAAATAACTTTCAGTAACAAATCTGTTTCCCCAATGTAAATCCACTACATTTTAAAAGATGCTCAATTTTCAGTTTTAAATTTCTCATGCTTCTCCTTCTTCCCTACCCTTCAAATTCTTCAATACCTATAAAGAATTAAAAGCACCCTCAGAAGTTGTAATTAATGGGGATCTTTTGGAATACCAAAGGTGACCTAAAGCAGTTCACAAACCTGGCTGACCAGAATCATTCAGGGAGCTTTGTTAAGGATGGATTCCCAGGCCCCACCCTCAGATTTTAATTCACCCGGTCCTGCATGAGGCCCAGGAATCAACATTTCAGCAGTCCATTATGTTTCTGATGGCCAGTCTTTAACTAGGTAACCACCAAACTAATGAACCTGGCCTACAAGCTGAGAAACTAAGGTCTCCCATGGCTTCTCATTAACCAACTACAAGTGGGGCTGCACCACTGTGCTAGTCACTTCAACTGCTCTGGGTCAACTGAAAATGAAGGAAGTAATTAGAGCTGAAAGAGGCCTTCATAGGCAGCCAATGTAAAATTCTAGAACCCTCCCAACTCAGTTTAATATCACAAACTGTACTGGGCTTCTTCAAAACAGTTTCATTCTGTAATCTCAACTACCCACCCAAGTCACTGGTCACAGGAGGAAAAGGCGGTTGTGCATGCCGCAAACAAACCTGACTTGGACTCTGAGTAAAAACACCACCACCAACCATATTGCTTGCCCGAATAAAGCCGCCTGAATTTGAAAGGGGAGGATCCCTGTCACCTCCCGCCCCCCAGAAACCACATTTCACATTTAAAAAAAAAAAATCATCTCGTGTAATTCAACCCTGGGTTCTGATGCCATCACGGTCCACACTATAAGAAACTAAGTGGGACCTCAACTAGAAAAGTGTGCCCACTTTTATTAGAATTTAGACCTTGCTTGCAGACGACTCCTGACCATCAACAGCAGATCCCAGAGGAGTTATTAACGTGGCCATAAAATTTACCCCATCATCTTGAGGTAAGTTTTCCGATACAAAGGCACAAACAACAAAATTATCTTAGGGGTGCCGGGATGCAATTCATCGAGCAGCACACTTTCCACCTGGGGAAAACACCACCGTACTCCGGCGAAGCTGTTTAACCAGCGGTCCCCGAGTTCTCCCGAGCCAGCCCCCTCCCCAGCGGCACCCCACCCCCTGCACCAGGTCATGAGGATGCACGGCCGCAGCGGGGCGGCCACTCCTCCTTCCCACAAGTCCCGGGCCCGCCGCTCGCCCGGGGGCTCCGCTGACCCGGCCCTGGGCCTCCCGCCACGGCCCGGTCAGGGGCGAGGGACGCGCACTCGCTCCCCGGGGCCGGCGGGGCCATCCCCGGGCGCTCCGGCGGCCTCGCCTCACGCCCCGGCCCCTCCGGCCGTCCAGCCCGGCCCGGGAAGGCTGCCCGGGCCCCCGCCTCCACCGCGACGAGGGGCCCGGCCCGCCCGGCCGCGCGCTCCCGCTCCCCGCACCTCCGCCGGCCGGCAGGGCCGCCGCCTCGGACGCCCTCCCGGAGCCGCGCGCTCCGTCCCGGGCCCCGCCGGCCGCCGCCTCCTCAGCCGGTGACAGCAGCCGCGCCGGGCCGCGGCCGGCCCCTCCTCCAGCTCCTCCTCATCCCCGGAGGGGAAGGGGGGGCAGCGACGGGGGCTCCTTACCGGGCGGCAGGACATGGCGAGGCCCGCCACGGCTCGGCCTCCTCGCCACCCCTCGAGGCTCCCAGCCAGGGCCGGCGGGGGGCAGCGCCTGGGCCGCTGCAGCGTCGTGTCCGGCCGCTCCTGCGCCGCCGCCGCCTTCTCACAACCACAACAACATGGCGGCAGCGGCCACACAGAGCGCGCACCCGACGCCGAGCCGGGCCTCGAACGGGGACGCGCGCGCACGCTCGGGCCCTCAGCCCGCGGTCAGGGAAAAGAGGGCGGGCTGGCGCGGCCGGGGGCGGGGCTTGGGTGGGCACGCCCCTTGGTGGGCGGGGCTTAAGCCCAGCAGCCTGCCATAGGCAGGGAGAGGCTGGCTGAGAACCCCAGCTGGGGAAAAGCAGAAACAGGTGGAAAATGCAGGAAGAAAAGCGAGGTGATCTACAGATCTTAGAGACTCATCTTTTCCTAACTCTATAGCTCTGGGCAAGCCAACACCTCACTCTACTTAACAATTAAGTAAAATAGTAATATCTTTCACCTGAAGTGGTGGTGAGACTAAAACTAACATCATGCATATAAATATAGTATTCTCAAGGTTCTGCTAAGAATACAATTTCAAGCTGCTTAAAGTGGCACTCAGCAGAAGAGTTTTCAAAATAACCTAGCCACAATAGCCCGCGGAAGAATTTTCTATACCAGGACTGAATGACAGGCCCTAGCAGATTCACCTTCTCAGAGTTGGATTTCAAAATTATATCCTTTACTTTTCTGGAAAATAGCCAAGAGAACCAGTCAAATGAAATCCACTGTTGCATTTGTTGTGTCGTTTCTTCCGCAGTACTCTGCAATTCTTTATCCATTTTTCATGTTTTTCTGACTATCCGATTCCAACGTAAAAGCTACTTGAAGATAAGGATCTTGTTCCACTATGACTTTATCCCCAGTACCTAGACCTGTGCTTGACAAGTAGTAGGCACTCACATTTCTTCGTTAACTAGTAGTTAGTACTTATTTATGTAACTCATCTAATTGAATCTTCACCATTTTAACATTCCATTTGACAGCTGAAGAAACTACAAGCCAGAATAAGGTGCACCAAGACAAAATTCAAAGCCAACAGACAACAAAAACTATAATCTCACCCACTAGGTTGCACTGCTGACTTCATGGCATTGTTGCCTGAAATAAAATTCCAAGCACAAAATTACAAGAGTTCAAAGTCAGGAAGTTTTGCTGTACTACACAGAAACAGGTGTGCTTCCTTTCTGAAAACTAGCATCAAGCAGCTGTTTGTGTCTCTTTTCACCTTGGCTTCCAGAAAACCCAGGGCTAAAGTTGAAGCTCAGTGGTACCTACTGTTGGTCCTTAAGGTCTGAATATTAAAGATGGTTTTCCTTCCTCCCTCAGCTTTGCAACTTTATTAATTTTTGCAGTTTTATTTCCCTTTTCTGTTATATGTTGATAGCCTCTAAAGAATGAGCAAGGGGAAAAGTACTCAAACAAACCAAAAAAAAAGGGTTTTTTTTTTATCAGATAAAACAAGTTTCCATCAGGTTCCTTCCCTGTAGGCATAAATTTTCTACCCAGTCCTCTACTCTGGAAAAAGCCAAAGGATGGGTTGCTGTACTTGGGTGATTTTTCACTAGATGGAAACTAGCACCAAACTCCAGGACAGCCAGGTATAGGCTGGCTAATGCCCTAAAAGGTGGCTTGGGGCAAAATTTCAGCTGATGAACTAAGAGAGCAAACCCCACATCTCCCCAGGAATCTTCAGAGAGAGACCAGACTGTTGACATATCATTTTCACCTGTTTTTAAATGGTTTGTTACTTTATTTGCCATTTAACTGAGGCTAAGGAATTTTTAACTGAATCCTCAACTATATATATGTGCCTCCCATTCATAACAGCTACATGAATTTCACCGTAAGCTGTGCCACACTACGTGAATGCTTTGCGTGTCTATTTAATGTAATCTTGTTCTCCCCCATGTCGCATGAGGAGATGGAAAAGTCAAGATTTGAACCAAGACAAATTATTCTGAAAGCATACTTTTAAACTCAAACTACAACTTTTCCCCACTACTGCTCACCTTAAGGCAGACCCTTGGTGAATTGTCTCCAAATAAGGAGAAAACCCTGCTGTGCGGCCTTGAAAACTCACTTCATGAAGAAGGCCCTAAGAAGAAGCAATGGAAAGCAAGCTGATCTGAGTCTAAAGACATAAATTTGAATATTGGTGCCTCAATGTACTTGTTCCTTACTTCCTTTTTTATATGTCTCAGTTTTCTGATCTGCCCTATGGGGTCCTACTCACTATTTTGCTCACCTCACAGAAGTGTGTAAGGTTTCTTTAAGATAATGAATGGGAAAACTTTTTGTTCACTATAAAAAACCAAAGCAATAGATAGATAGCATTCCTATGGGTTTTGGGTAAAGATAAGACATAAATTTTCTGTGGTGAGTCAAGAGGAGAGAAAACCAATCCAGCTTCAATGAAGGCTTGTTACTGCCCTATTTCTCAGTGGAAGGAGCCCCTTCTATCTGTCTGCCCTTCCCCCCTCCTCTTGTTACCCTTTCAGCCTCCTTCCCCCTGCTGTTTTCAAAGCTGAAAATGTTCTTCCAACTGTTCAGGGATTCTTTGAAGTAGGCTAAGACAGATGGAAAGGTTGATTGATGGAGGCTTCCCAAGGTCACACAGGGCCCCTGGAAGGCAGGAGTCCCTCAAACCCCCAAAATGTAGCCTTCCCAACACTAGATCTGCTGCTTAGTGATAAAAGTCACTTCTCTTTCTGTGAACACTTTGGGTGAACTATCACCAAACTCTCACAACCCTTAAGCATCATTTTGGCTTTCCACCCAGCTATCACAGAGGGGTAGCTTCAGCTCTCAGACTTCAAGGAACTATTTGCCACAGTCAGATAGAAACCAGAATTGGACACATATTCATGTAGTTTCAAATTCTCCAAGGATTTTCCAGGCACTATGTTGCACTCCTCATGCCAGAGTAGGTCAGCTCAGCTCTAATTCCTCATAGAACAATGGTCCTCAAAGTATGTTCCTTGAGTCCCTGGGGAGCCCTGAGATTTTTTTTTTTCCAGTTGAGTCAAAACTGATTTCATAATAATACTACAAAATGATTTACCTGTTTTACTGTGTTGGTATTTGCACTGATGGTGCAAAAGCAGTGGTGGTAGAAATATTGTCACAAAATAAGGCAATAGTACCTTCTAACAGCCATCATATTCTTCACTAACAGCCATCACAGCCTTCACTAACATGCACTGGGAGTACACAAAATGGGAATTTCTCTTAAGAATGTGACAAGGTGGGCCTCCCCGGTGGTGCAGTGGTTGAGCGCTGGGTTGCGAAGCTGCCCACAGTCTCTGCAGCGCCGGTTCGATCCCCGGCTGCTCCCCGGCCACCAGAGGAGGGTCCCACATGGCGCGCAGACCTCTCCTGCCGCCCGCTGCTCCCCTCAGCAGTGTACTTCAGTCCTTCTGCCTGCTCTGCTCCCTGCTCTGGCTCTGGTGAATTCTCTCACCCTCCAGCGCTTCTGACTGTACCCAGTGCTTGTATAAATCAATCAATCAATCTTGTATAAATAAATAAATAAATCTTTAAAAAAAAGAAAAAAAAGAATGTGACAAGGTGTGAACAATTCTAGACCTTTGAATACAAATCCTAAGATTCACCGTGACAAAATGGAAATTATGCATAAAACACTTTTTCACTTTTTAAATATTTTATTTTATATGATTCTTATATCATTTTTTCATTTTTGCACAATGTATGCATTTTCATTTTGGTTATATTCCCCATACAATTGCACCCGCCCTTATTTTGACCCTAATCCTTCCTCTCTCCCCCCCTCCCCCAGTGTGTCTCTGGTTTATACTTGCTTGTTGATTTTGATTTTTACTATGTATTAGTCTTTTTCCTGGTCCCTTATTTAGGTTTTCTAAATTCCTGCTATGAGTGAGACCTTCCAGTATTTTTCTTTTTCTTTCTGACTTATTTCACTGAGCATGATCCCTTCTCGCTCCATCCATGTCGCTGCAAATTGCACTTTTTTATTGAGGTGAAATCACATAACATAAAATTACCATTTTAAAGTGGAGAATTCAGTGGCATTTAGTATATTCACAAGATTGTGCAATCACCACCTTTATCGAGTTCCAAAACATGTCCATATCTCTAAAAGAAAATCCCACAACTATGAAGAAGTTCTCTGCGCACATTAAGCATTTTTGCTCTGTGCAGAAGAGAAAACACTTGCAAAATTGTTCCTGTGCCTCTTTTTTGTTTTAAGATTTATTTTGTTTATTTATGCATACAAGAACAGGGGTGTAGGCCAGAGGTCCAGGGGCAGAGGGGATCAACTGAAATACACTGCTGAGGGGAGCAGTGGGTAAGACAGGAGAGGTCTGCTGTGCCATATAGATCACCGCCCTGACTGGGGATCCAATTTGTGCTGCAGGGCTGTGGATAGCTTTATAGTGCTGAGACTTAACCCCTTGCATCATCAGGGAGGCCCCTTTCTTTTAAGGATAAAAGGTTTTAAAAAACTATTTTTACTTTACTAGAAAAAATAACCAACATGTAAACCACAGCTCTTCAGACTTGAGCAGGCATTTTCTGAAAATGTATGAAATGAACTCCTCACTTCAAGTAAAAGAACTGATAGTATTTCTTACCAATGATACAATTAGAACTTGATTAAAATTTTGGAAAATTGAAATGTTCCATCAGGAACTTGACAGCTTCCCAATATCTAATGTCTTTTCTGCTTTGGCTGGTAATAATATTAACAAAAGTGAACTTCTGGCATTGTATAATAAAATATACCAATATTTGGAAGAGCTGCATAGCCCAGTGAACCCATATTTTCCAAATGACAAAATCATGCATGTATAAAAGGTTCATTCCAAGTGTGAGATAAACCAACAGATTCTAGTGTAACTAAGTTCAAAAAATTTCACTGATGTATTTATGCAAACAAACTTTCGAAAACTACTTGTCAAATTTTGTAGAATCAAAAAAGAATATCCACAATTACATGAGCTGTATGAGATTGGATTGTCTTCATGTATTTCAACTAAAACAAGTTGCCACAGATTCA